AAAAAAAAAAAAAAACACTTGGAGAATATTGTGTCCCCAAATCTCAAGTTGTAAGCCCTTTCCATTCCCCAAAAATTAGCAGCCAAGATGTAGCCAGCTTGAAGATGCAACAGTTAATAACATGGCTTCTTCATCGATTCTTTCAGTGTTCTTTATATAGTAAGCATTCATCTCTGCCTCTCTTTTTTTCCTGTTTACACTGTAGCTAAAAAGCTTTTAAATACCCCCAGATACATTTTCTGTTACAAAAAAAAAGTACTGATTAAAAAAGCGACTTTTTTTAAACATTCAACTACGATGGGGTCAATGTGTTGTAGGGTAAATAAAAGACATTTAGCTTTGTATCTGAAAAGAACATTTCTCTACTTTTCTTCCTGAAGGTGCTTGGATTGATCCAAAACATGAGCCATTATGTGTGCCCCAAGTGTCAACACAAAGCATACATATTTGGACAAGATGGAGCTCGCAATGTTGCCAAAGAAATGGACATGGAGCTCTTGGGTATGTTTATATGTGAGCTTTGCTAATGTTTTATACGGGAACATGGTGGCTTAGCAGTTAACACTTCAAACTTTGAGCCTCTAGGTCTGGGTTCAAGTCCTGTTACCGACCGATGTTCCAATTTGGTGCTTCATGCTACAGAAACTGGGTTAAGCTCTAGCCTTATGAGTTTGATAGCTCTTGTGTGGTTTTACCTGCTTTAGTGGTAGTTTACATTAGCACAATGACTAAATTATCTGAAAATAAATGAAATTCAATAACTAAACTAAAACAGGAATAAAATATAAAATTATGTCTGGTGTAACCAGTTTTCCCAAGAAGAATGATGGACAAATGAGAGAGGAATGTTGATTGTCAAAACCTCAAATGCTTTCAGAGCCTTATTGGTTCGAACATGCGTACCAAAACCAAAAAATGATACCGTCTTTCCAAATGCAAAACCTCATGTCTGACATCAGCTTTGAAAGGTTACTTGAATTTCTATTAACAATGCTATTTTTTTGTGCAAAACTCCATTCACATTGAAGAGACAAGTATCAAAAGGCTGTACACTTTCTTTTGTGTCAAGCAGAACCTATTAATTACACCGTATGTTCTTTGTTGCTTTTGCTTTTTTGTAGGTGACATTCCTCTCCATATTGACATAAGAGAAACAGCAGATTCAGGAAAACCCATTGTAGTTTCTCGGCCAGACTGTCTGCAGGTACAGTGTGCTACACCTGATATTGTTCTAAAACAGCATCAAGCAAATTCTTAACTCCATTATTAAAGAGAGAAACAAGACTAAAGGAACATAGGATTAAAGAAACATAACCAATTCTCCATTGTCTTTTCTGAAACAGAGTAAAGCTTATAAGACCATTGCAAGTCGCATCTTGGAAAAGCTTCCCCTGTAAAAGAGGTATCAACTTTGAAGCTACATACTGGTTAGTATTCAGCTGCTGTTCAGCAGTAAGTGACTGTAATGTCCTAAACAGTCTCGTTCCACCATTATCATTACTTTATGCCAACAAAGCAAGTGGTACATAGGATGGGAAACAAGAAGATTGACTTGAAGGCAAGATGCAAAACCAACATTGTTGAAAAGAAGTTCACAAGTTCCAAAAATCCTAAGCTAAGTAATAGGAAAGGAAACATGGTGCTGTAACAAAATCCTGAAGACAAAGCACAGTCCTGGGAAATAAAGAAATTTTCAACTGCAGAAGATCTCAACAAAAATACATGACATTTAGATTTATGGTAAAAAGCGTCTAACCACATAGTTAAGGAAAAAAGTTTTGGTTATTCATTATTTTAGATGTAATAGTGTAATATATACTGTACATAATAATAATAATAATAATAATAATAATAATAGACTGATTCTTTGTCTCATGGTGTAACCATTTAATATTTTTTATTAATATTATGTACATGCATCAGAAAAGAATATAGATTGCTTTACACTGTCCTTGGAAATGTCTTGATAAGATGAAAGAATGTTTATATTGTTACTTTTTAAAGTGTTTTAGGACAATGAGCTATTATCAATAAAACACTGTTTTTTACTTTTATAAAAAACAGCAAACAGATAATAATGTGCAACCTGCCAGCAGATGACCACAGGCCTTTTACAACCTACTTGGTTTAACTAGAAGATGGTTGGCAAAATCTTTCTGTTAGGGGGTGTTTACATGACACCAAGGTGACTTTGGTGCTGTCAGGAGTTCACTCCGGTCTGCCAGCAGATGACCACAGGCCTTTTACAACCTACTTGGTTTAACTAGAAGATGGTTGGCAAAATCTTTCTGTTAGGGGGTGTTTACATGACACCAAGGTGACTTTGGTGCTGTCAGGAGTTCACTCCGGTATCCAGTTCCCTCTTGTGGCTCTGTACTTGTTTATATGATACCACCACAAAATGTCATGCGGGTGCAAGTTCACCCCGGTTGTAAAATCTTTCTGCTGATAGACCAAAACGGGTAGCACATGCATGCGTAATTATTGTCAATCCATGGTGGCATCGTCATGTTGGTCAAGGAACGACAAAAAAAACATGCAAAAACATGCATGCAGGTTTTCTCACGTAAACACCCCCTTCGTAAAGGATATTGTTTTCATTAATACATTGCTCTACAAACAGTACAATGGTGTGTTTTGTTGTTGAACTGTCTTCTGCTGTTACCAAAAGCACCACTTTACTTGGGTTTAGTCTCAGCATCTGAAACCCTCCGTATGTAAATAGCATCTTCAGGATGTCTAATGATGAAAGAAATAAAATGAAATAGAAGGTATATGTATTTCTTGTAGCCTTTTCTCACATCAATACCTTTAAGGGGAACACAAGTGCACCTTTTCTAAGCACTGCCTCTAACCCTGATATCAATAGCACATGGGGTCAATTTAATAAAACTTTTACTAGTGTCATTTACAAGGGTAGCCTTAGGTTCAGTCTTAAAACAGTAGCTACACTTGTTAACATGTTATTAAATTGACCCCTAGTTTTCATCAAGGTTATCAAGATCCCGAATACAGTTGGTAGTGTTGTTGTAAATTCTTAGCTTATACTGAAACTTCACTCTGCTGATCTACAATCAATGAAAAAATTGTTGAGAAATTGTAAAGTAGGTAAAACATCAATAAGCCCCTTTCCGGATTAGTGCCTCAACTAATTTTGTCACCGATTGTAGCTAGTTTACAGGCACAAAACAACTAGTGCAAATGAAACATAACAGGATTTAGAACTCCAACAAGCAAGAGGGCTGGAAAAAAGTCACATCTGGTAGTCTACAACAAGTAGATTTTCTTGCTGGGCAAGGAAGTACCCCTAAAGCATGACCAACAGAAATGAAACCTCTTTCACATGGCAAATTGCAGAAGAACTGTTATCAATGCTGTTCTCTTGGGCTAGTGCATGCTAGCTATAAAAAAAACTGACTTTCTTTGCACCCTCATTTTTGCAGGATTTTACACAATAAGGTTTACATATTCTAATTTTCTTAACTCCTGGGAGTGATTGAAGACTTACTCTTTTTCATCCTCCTCATACATGTATGATGAAGCTATGGCCAACAAACTGCCATCATTACTAAAGCTCAATGATGCTATACTTGTTGGGTAACGATGGAACTGAAAAAAAGGAAGGGAAATATCAGTTCCTGCACCCAGATTTACAAGGTGTTCCTGAGTAAAGTATAAGTGCATGATCTGGCTTGTATAAAATAATTTGCAAGAATGTTGAAGTAATAATGTTAGTGCTCTACCTGACAGAGTCTTTTCTTGTTGAAGCCATCCCAGATGTTTACAAAGCCATCTGATCCACCAGTGGCAAATGTGTTGTGTCTGAAATCATTCCAAGTAACAAATAATTAACGTAAAGAAAGAAAATTGTTTTTATGCTTGAATTCACCAGTCAAAAAATGAAGATTGGTCCTGGAGGGCAAACCAAAGCATGACTAAGAATAAAAGCAAAGTGTCACAAAAACTTAATTTTGAAAGTTTTTGTTGTTAATTCAAATGCAAGAAACTTCAAGAGTTTAGGAAACTCTGCTATAGATGTTTATTTACTCACACATTATGGAAGGATATAGCATTGACAGGGTAAATGTTTTCCATTCCCTCCTCTTTGATTCTATGACACTTGAAAGCATATTTCTTTTTCTGTACTTCAGGGCTTGGATCAAAGTATTCCACGGCTACTCTGCCTTCAATGGAGCTCAACACATAGCCTAAGGATTTTGACGCAAGAAAGAATTTACTGTCAGACAAATCCATATTAAAAGAGTGAACTTTAAGAAATTATTCAATTTAGCTCTTTATGAAATGCATCTAAACTTCATGGAAGTTCTGTAAGACTATGTGAAACACTACTGTTTTTTTTTGAAACACTATCCAATGATCTGTAACATATCATCATATAATATCATCCCACAGATCCAATATAAGCAATTCACATATATTGTATTCATTACTTCATCTTTATCTTTCCCTAGAGTATGTTATGAACTAGCCTGCGAACAGCAGATGCATTTCTGGTCGTCACTTCTCTCCTCCGGAGGGAGAGAAGCGACGACCGGAAATGCCTCTGCTGTTCGCAGGCTAATTATGAACCAATATAATGACCAGCTCCCAGTTGGTTTATTAGCTCAATTGGTTAGGGGTGCTGCACTGGGATCGCAGAAGTCAGGGTTTGAATCCTGGCAAGCCTGATTTCTTTCAGGCTTTCTTTTCGCAACTGCATAAGTTTCATCTTCAACTGTGATGATCGTTACATTTATTAGGTCCATAACACTGTCGTACGAGTCCACAACTGGAAAATACTCATGTTTATTGCATTTTACTTGTTAACAAAAAATTGCAATCTTTTTACTGTCATAGATTATTCACCATTAACAATTTCATTATTACATTTGTTCAATCAATAACTGCTTATATATTGACACTTAGTTTTCCCCTCTAACTGAAACCTTGTTCCTATAATCTTGACGGTTATGATATTCACTGACCTTGTTTGTTGGGGAATGTTCGAATGCATCTTGTTTGGTATTTTAAACTAGATTCTCTCCTCTGTTGTACACATCCCTACATGAGAATAAATTAACACCATATAAGGTATGACTTTAGTACTTTAAATTTACAAGTTATTGTACCACTGGGAAGTAAGTTACCGCCTTCTCACAAAGATGGGCTTCTTGAATGGAGAGGGATGAGACTGTGGTACATCTTGCATGAGGGTTAAAAAACTAAGTCTTACTAAATAGTACAACAATAGCAAAAACGTTTGGGCACCAGAAAAATAATGAAATTAATGCTTTTGTCTTTGAATAAAGAATGCCACGGCACCTATGTAAAACCTTTCCAACCAAACACAATGTGAAACTTTAAAAAACTGTTAATTCTTACATTTCCTGATTCTTTTCTGCTTACCAGTACATATCAAAACAGTAAAGTATCAGTAGAACAGTTCTTACCATGTTCCTGAGATCCCACACCATCACTCTCCGTCCTGCCTGCAATAATGCAAAATTTAGTAAATCTAATCAAACAATCAAACAAAGGAAAACCTTGACAGAAACACAAGTAACAAAGTACAAGTATACTTCAGTAAAAAATAATATTCCTTACTGTTCCAACAACAAGTCGCTCATCAGATGTTGCCATTGTGTAGACCTACAAAAAAGCACATTATTAGTTCCTAACAAAAAGAAAGGGAAACTATGGAGAGTTTGTTAAGGACAATAATATTAAAACAGTTATATGTTTTGAAGAAATGAGGAGCTACATGTACAACATCCTGAGATATCCAGAGCAAGTAGCTGATGGGGAAATGATAACAGGCAAATTGTGTTGGTGTGGGCAAAGTTCATCAAATGGTCAGAAGAGTTGTTGGGCACCCACTCATTTGAAAAAAAAAAAAAACCAGCCCAAAAACGATTTATTTGCCTGCTTCTGATTTTTACGGCCAATCAAAAGCAGGGAATTCAAATGCTTCCGGAAGTAGCAATTTCACTTGTAAATAATCTCTCCCAATAATGACATAGTGAATGAAATGAGACCATACAGCTGTAAGTGACTCTTGATCTAATGAGAATTTCTTGTTTAGTTTTGGGAATTCAAATGCTTCCGGAAGTAGCAATTTCACTTGTAAATAATCTCTCCCAATAATGACATAGTGAATGAAATGAGACCATACAGCTGTAAGTGACTCTTGATCTAATGAGAATTTCTTGTTTAGTTTTAAACAAAAATACAAGGACATTTGCATGGAGAATTAAGCAGTCAATCAGAAGTCACTTGGGCTTTTTTCTCGGTACTCAAACTTCATTATTAGTTAGCTGCCCTGCCTGGTTCTCCCCTGATGCAGCTTCAACAACACAATAAAACAGAAAATGATTACTATCAGGAGACAAAAACTCAAGGATGGTTTTTAATACCTTTTCAGGTTGTTGATATGTTCCTGTACACTGATTTGCCCTTGGATCCCACAGTTTGATATTTTTGTCCCAACTGCCTGTAACAATCACACCTAGAAATCACAGTAACAAGTACAATATATTAATAATACTACTAATAATAATGATAATAATAATAATAATTCATTAATTATCCTTTCCCACTTAGGGCCTAGGGGCTTTTCAGGGATAATGAAACAAATAATTTCAATGGAACATAATGGTGTTAAAAATTCCAACTGGTAGGAGGTGAACCAGTTGGCTATTTTACAAGTGTGGCTAAGGATTTGAACTAGTGACCCAGCTAGCAGTCAGGGCAGGATTAGAACTTTGGGCCTCTGAATTAAATGTCCAGCACTCTAACCGCTCAGCCATGCGGCAATTCATTTTAGGAGATTAAAAAAAAATGTGCGGGCTCTTGTGATTGTCTGGGGAAGCTCTGTCCTCACAAGGGCTGTCAATTTAGTTCACACTGAGCAGAAACTGTGTTACAACAACACCTCAAAAAACAATTAAACTTCAGCTGGTACTTGGGACAAGACTTGCCTGGGTTCTTGCCCATTCAGCGAGAGATCATGGAAAGTTCCTTGCACAGAATCAAAATTTACTTGTCTCAGACTACCTAGCAAGACTTTTTTCAAACCACATGTATAACTTCCCCAATCTACTGCAGAGCTGTGCTTAGCCTTTAATATATGCCCCTCCATTTATAAGCCACCCCAAACCCCTTATGAAGATGCATAAGCCCATGGTTTATAATCAGCAGTTTGGGGTATTAAATAAGGCACTATGCAAACCTTATTTCATAATTTGTTAGGTCTTACCAATAGCAGGGCAGAATTCTACACATTTTATTGGTGCCTCATGCATTCCTACTACTTGCTCAGTTGAAGTGTTAAAGTCCATCCTAAACAAAACACAATAAGATTAATCAACATTCTATTTGATATTACAAGACAGGAAGTCATACAATGTTATTTTAAATTAATTTCTTTTTTTATCTTTGTACAAAGATTACGGTTTTAACAGTTACTTGAAACGGTAATCGCAGTTTATACATGTAACAGTCTCCTCCAAGTTTTTAAATGTTAGCTTATCGTACATGAAATTGATCCACACATATATCGTCGAAAGCCATGGTAGGCACATACCACGTTGAAAATGCTGCTGTTGCTAAACAGTGTACCTTACAGAAATACAACTGAAATTTTAAAGGCTTGTTTATAGTGGAATTTGCACTTAGCTTATCCAGCTACTTTACAGGCCCTCCACTCAGATATTTAGAAACAAAACATTCAAATACAACGTAAAAGGATTAAAAACCCCAACTGGCAGAAGGCAACTAGTTGGCTATTTACAAGTGTGGCCGAGGATTTGAACTCGTGATGACTGAGAACCAATCCAGCAAGTGGCCAGAGCAGGACTTGAACCTGGGAACGCTGGATTGCAAGTCCGACGCACTGACCACTTGGCCACGCTGCTTCTCATTTTGCAGCAACATACACTGTAGAATGTGCCTTTGTTTTCAAGGTTTTAGCATTTTTGGCAGGTAAGTAAAGTCAAAAGGTTGGTGCTAGATTTTCTCTCATCTGATGACTCGTACAAAGTAAAATCAACTCACACTTTGAGGGTACTGTCTAGACCACCACTGTATGAATGTACACCATCTTGGAAACAGCAGTCTAGGACAGCATTAGCGTGATTGTACTTCAGTCGCATGTTATTATTCTGAACATCATAAAAAAATCAAGAGCATTAAAGTTGACTCTATCTTAATGGACATCTCTATAAGACAGACACCTCTATAAAAGAGACACCCAGATTTGGTCCTTGCCCTTCTTTACTTCTTTTATTTGACTCTCTATAAGACGGACACTTAATGGATTTAGTGCTGGCCACAAAGATGTCCAATTTTGGAGCCTGAACCCTGGTAAATTTTCCATCAGCCCTGCACATTTATCATGCGCACAATTTTTTACTCTATTCATATTGACTATTTTTATGAAATATTATAAGCTTGCTGCATGCATGATCAATGTAGGAGCTATACAGAAATCTTTCTGCTTTCTATTAAGCTTTGAGGCATGGCATAGCTAAAGAATACAGGTCAACTTTCTTAGAATTATAAATTGCAAGTTACTCAAAAGCTCACTAGTGAAAATAGAGGCTCAGCGGCTCGCCAGTCCTGACGGAAGAGCCACCAAGCCACTAAATCATAAACATGTACCCCTCTTGTTTTATAACTCTAACCTGGACTGAGGAGTCACTAAAATATACGCCTTGATTGTTCTTTACAGCATATGCCTCTCAATATACTTATATACCTTGCATACTACTTGCTAGTAAAATTTGTATCTTTTTCGTTCTTTCTACACTCATCATGACTAGCGAGGCACCGAGCCACTTGCCAAAATGAAGCGACGTGGCTCTGTATATTGTAGCCACTGTATTTTTTTCTATGTCAGTCAAATCGTTAGTGTCACGGCATTCCCATTATATTGCTCAAATTATACTCGAAAAAGCGTCTTTCCGCCGGCAGAACTTAAGCTTACCTAAGCCGATTAAAGTCATTAGATTTCTGTATTGTGACCGATTTTAGAATAGTTTTCCTTCGAAATTCAAACATAGTTGATTGAAATAAAAGAAGCTTACTGTATCCCACGATGATACCACTAAAAATGATGCTGATGTAGGGCTGAATTTGACGGAAGAAATTCCATCTGAGGGAGGTTGTTCAAGTTGAAATTCGTTGGGTCCGTCCGTCATTTTGGAAAATGTGCGCGCGTTATGCTTACAGGGCATTAGGGAGCCTTCCCAGTCTCTCACGTTTTCAAATCTTCGAGCTTTTTTGATCAGCGGATACCACGGAAACAAGGTTGTTTTTCATATAATGCCACTGAATGATACCTTACTAAACACTTGCTCTTGGGCGATGTGCCTAAATAGATGAAACGGCAGTGATAGAGTTTATTAATTTTTTTTTGCCGATTTGAGGTAAGGCATTCCAGTTTTTATATAGAGTTGTGTGATCTTTAAACCTTTTATACTCGCGATATCTAGACTGTCACAAGATTCCCGTTATCTAGGGATTGAGCGTTAACTGTAGACTAATGCCAAGTATAATTTGCTGCCACGTTGTATAACTGGTGGAATACTGGTTTCTCAATTAGTGACATTGGCTCAGTCAATTGCAAGCATGCCCGTCCCTTTCTTGCCGGGCATTTGTCATTTTTTTCTTTCAAATGGCCTGCGGATGTCCCAAGGTGGGGCCAGCAGATCTGACCATGGGGCGTAAAAAAAGTGGACGAAAGCCCCACCCTGGACGAGGCAAAAGGCACATTTCCTTGAAAGAGGCATTGAAAATTCAAACTGTGTGTAAATAATGAAACAGGTTAACTTCACTAGTAAGACCACAAAAACAACATCAAAGCGTTTAAATGTAATAAAAATCAACTACCTGTACAATATAATAGAAAGTAATTTATTATAGTAAACTGAGATTTTTCAGCTGGCCCTTTAAGAAGAACTTTGTGCGATGGCAGTCACTCTTGGAAGGCCATGTCACATTTAGTGTTAAAGGCCATATTAACATGGTGAAATTATATAGAATTTTACTGCTTGTGATTTTAAAATGTGGCCATTGACTGTATTAAGGTGACTCGACCCAGTTATTTTGTGAGGATACCATCCTACTATGAAGCTCTCTGGCATCCCCACCTTTACTTTGATCGTAATTGTGACGTATAGCATGGATAACATATACATCAATCTACAATATAGCATAAAACTTGGCGATCGGAGTAAATGGTTATAGTGCCACGCCTCTTTGGGGTCTGAGTCGAAATTCTGCTGTTGCCGGCATTTTTTCGTGAAAATTTCTTCTCAGACTTTCACCAAAATCGCAAAGACCCAATGCGAGAAATTCAGCGGTTTCCAGATTTAGGTCATAATTTATGCGAAAATAAAAAGCCAACTTTACACAATTATATCTAATAAACTATGAAACTATGATATCTCGGTGAACATTCGGAAGTCAGCCAAGCACGGTCATTGCACGCATGCTAAACAAGAATGTTGTATCATGACAGACTAGAAACAATAGAAAACTTCCAAAGCACAAACTCAGCCAAAACGCTAAAAATCTTCAATGTTTACTCAAGTTTGGGCTGATAGAAGATAATGTCACAGTTTTTCAATGATCATAAAAATTCAGAATTCGGGTAGTCAGTTAATCAATTGTGGCCCTGAAAAAGTTTGAAGGAAAAAAAACTACAAATTTTTAAGAAAATGCTTTTTTGGTGAGAAGGACTCTTAGATGCTGACAAACATCAACAACTAGCAAAAACTATAATTTGTATATGTTTGCATTACTCGAAATCGCGCCCATTTACAAGGCCCTAAAGGTTTTTTCTGACTTGCAAGGACCCATCTATTATAAAGATCCCTAAAATAAAGGGATAAATTTCATAGTTTATTAGATATAATCATGTACAGTTGCCTTTTTATTTTCGCATAAATTATGACCTAAATTTGGAAACCGCTGAATTTCTCGCTTTGGGTCTTTGCGATTTTGGTGAAAGTCTGTTCAACGCAAGGCACTAATACGCACTATATGTAGCCGAGAGATTTTCGCGAAAAAATGCCGGTAACAGCAGATTGACTCAGACCCCAAAGAGGTGTGACACTATAACCACGTGACATTTACTCCGATCGCCAAAAATTTTATGCTGTATTGTAGATTGATGTATATGTTATCCATGCTATATGTTAGACTTATGATCAGAGTAAAGTTTGGGATACCATAGAGCTTCAAAGTAGGATGGTACCCTCACAAAATAACTGGGTCGAGTCACCTTAAGAGGTGACTGCATTAACAGGGGATTTTTATGTACATAGCCATTTTTCTGGGCCCAAAAAACTGGTTACCCTATTACCGAGGTGTCCGTAAGGTAGGGTTCTGCTGAAATTAAAATAAATTAATGTATGAAATATAAGTAAATAAGTAAAATAATTAGTTATAATAATGATAATAATAAACTGGTTAATCTAATCTAAGCGCCTTCTGAAATCATGGACTTTTTTTCTATATCTGCAGCATTGCCAGGCAATTCTTTGATGGTTCTGCAATAAAACGAGTTTCTGTAGGCTTCAGTCTTTGGTGTTAATTTAATGAACTTGTCACTGTGGAAGGATCATAGTTGGCGATTGCACCTTTTGATATAGCTTGGGACTTCTAATCATGATTTGCCATGGATGGCCTCAAGCAATAGCTGTGTGAGGCAAGGAATTTTCTTATATCTTGGAGAGGGGGTCAATCCTAGTCATTAAGTAAGTTTGTGACAGTTCCAGGTGTTTGCTTCCAACAATTTTTCACAAATCGTGCAGATACAACAACAACAACAATGTATTTATTAACAGAACTATAAAGTTTACAATACTTTATGCCCCGCGAATAGCTATTAGGCTGATTTAGCAACAGAACGGGAATGTCATTTGACGACGGGAAAGGGCGCAGAAAGGACTAAACTCGACTTCTAGTGCCCAATTTGCTGCACAGCCATTGGTCAAGCCAGTTGTTTGATTTCCGCGCGTCATCGTCAACTGACGTTCCTGTTCTGTTGCTAAATCAGCCTATTATGCTAATCTAGGCAGGACAAGCAGATTGCTGTTTGACAGCTTCTATTTGCTTTATATGCTTGTCCTTGTTCATCCAGGGGTTTCTCACTCTTTGAAAGTTAGTTGTTTACTGTTTGCCTTAAGATGCTTAATTTTTCGATATCAATAATTTTATCATTATGAGATCAGGTCAGGGTTCAAATGTTGCCTTTCCTTGGCAGATATCAGGAGACAGCTTCCCCGGCCTAGCCCTGGTCTGTTTAGCCTGCGTGGCCGTCGTTGAAAGGGGAAGGGGAAGGGGAAGGGGGAATTTGGGCGTGCGAGCTGGCCATGCAGGCTACTGTCCATTGTGCAATGGAGCATAAAAAATGTGCCCAATAATGATAGAATGATATTACTGTGACAAAGTACAACCTGTATTTTCAATTCTCTTTCTGCTTACAGATAATTTGTTTATTTTCTTATTTTAGACTTAAGAATGCTTATTAGCCTGAGGAGGAAATTTTTCTATGCAGTTACACTGATAACTGTAGCCTTGTTTGTGGTTTCCTTGTGGTCTGTATATCGTGATGAACTGTTGTGGCTTAAGGTTGGTTTGCTAACAGCTTTGTAACCTTAAAAAAGTGTTATAATACTGTGTGTTTTTAACAGTTGCAAATACATCCTGGATATCTGTTGAACTGAAGGTGCTAAATATGCTAGTAGTCCATCATTAGAAACAGTAAGTAATTCTCCAGACTGACCTCAATACATTTCCTTAAAGAATAAGTTGAGAGAATCTGGTACTCCTTTTATAACCTCTCTACATTGGCCGTCTACTTGTACCACTCCATATATTAAAATTCCTACCAGTATTTCCAGTAATATTTGAAAATTTGCCACTATGAAAACCAGGGACACTTTCCCCAAATGCTGGTGTCATGGAACCAGGAGCATGTATATTCACTTTTTGTTTTATTTTTGCTTGCAGGTTGATAAATGGGAAAGTTGTGAGAAAGTGATTTGGCAAAATTCCTTTTCAAATCTGTTGAGAATATTTCTGAATCCTGACCATAAAAATCACAAGACTGACCAAGACATCTTGGACACATATGGCAGTAGACAATGTCATGACATTCTACGGCATGACTTTCCTCACCCTATTGCCACATCAATAGAAATTGAATTTCCAATTGCGTATGGAATACTTGTATATAAAGGGGGGCCTCTTCTTGAACAGTTATTCAAAGCAATATATATGCCACATAATGCCTATTGCCTTCATGTTGATGTGAAGGCCTCTGAAACTTTCGAACGGGCTGTTAAATCTATGACCAGGTGCCTAAGCAATGTCTTTATCACCAAAAAAACCTTGGATGTGATATGGGCACATATTAGCATCATTCAAGCGCAGTTAAATTGTATGGAAGATTTATTGGAAAGTCCCATTAAATGGAAATATTTTATAAATTTAGTGGGACAAGATTTTCCTTTGTATGACAATAATGGCATTGTAACTGCATTGCAGACACTTCAAGGAAAAAACAACATTGAAAGTTTTCCTATGCCTGAGCGTAATTACTACCGCACACAATTTGTTTATCGCTTTGAAAAGACAGGTGAATTTTCCCACGATTATAGAAGAATACAAACATCACTTAGAAAAGAACCACCACCATATGGACTTAAACTTTTCAAAGGCTCAAATCATGTGGCCTTGACAAGAAATTTTGTACAATTCATCTTGTATGATAAAAAAGCCAATGAATTTTTTAACTGGCTAAATGACACTTTTATTCCCGATGAAGCATTCTATGCTACTCTTCAACAAATTCCTGGTGTTCCTGGTGGTATCCATGGAAACCACAGCTGGTTTATGAGAAGACTGATGTGGTTTAATGATGTTTGCTATGGACAAATTGTAAGAGAAATCTGTTGGCTCAGTGTGGCTGACTTAAGATGGGCTTTAAGTAAGCAGGAAAGTAAATGGCTATTTATACAGAAAATCCCATTTGATTATGATAAAAGGTTATTAAAATGCTTAAGAATGGCAATAACAGGAAGGAAGTATGGACAGAGTTACTTTCCTTGAAAAGGACACTACTTGATGAACACTTAACAATTTATTTCAAATTAGTTTAAACCCACGTTGTTCTTTTCTAAACACGTTTTGGTGCTCATAGGAATCAGAGCAGTTATTTTAGACCTGATTCTAGTAGACATAAATCTGCTGGGGCAAATTGATTCTGTTGACTTAAAAAATATTACTATCATTACTTATGAGAAAAGCATCGAAGATCACCGTATAGCTAACTTTAGTGATGAGAAAGTAATCTACAAAGGGAGATGTTCGTAGACAAGCCAAGTGTTCTCAATAAGGGAGAAATTAATGAGAAGAAAGGATTACTTTGTCCTCACAGGTAGAATTTCTGTCGTGAAGAAAATATTAGATTATGGATTTTTAAGCTGCTTCCTACTAGTACCTATAATTAAAAATTCTGTTTTATCATCGTTTGACATAAGATTATCTGAAATCATCCAACTCCTAACATCCCTGATACAGTCAGTCATAGACTTGATGACAAAATCAGCATCCGCAGATCGATTGGGGCTGAATGATACAACTGTGTATCGTCTGCGTAGCAGTGAACTTGTGGGAGGTGGCGTTCAACGATCTGAAACAGTTTGCGCATGTAGATAGTGAAAAGCAAGGGGCCCAAACATGATGATGACCGATGATCAAATCTTTTAATTTTTAAGGCTTACTTCCCGGCAATTGTAAAAAGTGAAAGAGAAATAGAAAAAAATTCCAAGTTCTAATTAAATCTTTTCTTATGGTTGAGAGCAAAATATTCTCGAAACTGAGAATGTTTTCAGATCAAAGCTGTGTAAATCGAACTGAAACAGTGCATGGAACCTTGCATTTCCTGTTTTTACTCTCACCTATTGTATGGAATGTGTGTGAAAATCTTCATTACGAACGACCAAGAATACTATTGACCGACAATATGCAGAGCGGGGGCAGCTGTAGTGTCAACTATTACTAGAATATCATTAAACAATATAAACATCATGCATGAAATACCACAAGGGCTGCATCCCAGCCCCTTTCATATGGGAGTCCCCCGGGCTACACCAACCCTAGCCTGAGAAACGAGCTGACATTTCACGATGCCACTATTTGATTCCCTTCAGAAATTCCAGACTGATGGTGTTAGTGCTTCTAATTGGTTGAAAATTTACTTCATCCAATTAGAAGCACTACACAGATCTTGGTGGTGATACGTCACCAGTATGGAATTTCTGCAGACATTCCTCAGACATTGGTTTTTTACCATTTACTAAACGTTTCTGGAAAACCCAGGTGGAGAGTAAGTGGAACACGATTTTTTGGGTCGTTTCAGCAGAACGTTTCCGGGAGCAATGGAACATCTAAAATGTTTGTCCTGTTTTTTCTGAACGGAATATTCTAAACGGAATTTTGTGTTCCATTTCTTCAGGTCATCTTTGATACCAGGGGCGCTTTCCATTTAGTCAAAATTTCCGGAATTTCCGGTTCGGCGGTAAATGGAACACGTTTCGTCGGTTCGTCCCACTGGAAAATTCCCAGAAAAAGTGGAAAATCTAAAAAGGTGGTCCCGTTTTCCCGGTTGGAATTTCCGAACGGAATGTCGTGTTCCATTTACGTTTCTCGTACTTTGTACCAGTTCCAGGTCCACGGTCGGGCACCGCCACGTACCGGGGTTTACGACCAAATGGAACAACTTTTTACCAATCGGAAATTCCACTTTTGCTACCACCGAAATTTCCGGGTTTTTGTCTTAAATGGAAAGCGCCCCAGGTTCACTCCTCCACAGCCGTTTTTCGGTGAATGGAACTGGTTTGGTCAAATGGTTAACGCTATTCCACGAGGAAATTTTCCTTCTATGAATTTTGTGTAACAGTTGTCCAAACCGTGATTTGACCGGGTTGACCATGTAAATGGGGAAATGGTAAATGGCCAACCAGTGGTGGCGTTGCAAAACATCAGCTGTTTTCTCAGGCTAAGCCAACCCAAGCATTGAGTTGGTGCGTTTGTTCGCAGCGGTTCAGGATATGTATAAAAAGTCCAAAATACTGTACTTTGACAGTCCTCATGAAAGTGCAGCTTCCAAGCTGTTTATCATTGTCTGATGTTCATGTTGTTATCATTGTAACAAAACATTGGATTGACTGAGATGTTTTGGCACTATATGCCTTTATCAGCATTCCCCAGTGGATGAACAGGGTGTTCAGTAAAAATTTGTCAGCTTTCATGGTTACAGACATACCGAAAGGCATCTTTCACACTAGTAGGCTTTTCTTGGACAAAGTATGCAAATTCGTACATAGCTAGAGTAGAAAAGAACGTCGCATCATGTTTGGTGTCAGGTACTTGTGAAAAGTGGGACCCTTGAAAGGATCCTTAGTACGTTGCCACGTATTAGCCACTTTGGAAGGGGGTATCATTACAGTGCCGGCTTCACTCCTTGTCAACAGGCTCAACCTCCAATCTGATTTTTTTTAGTTTGTGAGCTCTTGTTAACTGAGTGTTTATGAGGACGTTTGTTCACTAGGTGTCCTCCTACGAGCATATCAAACGTTACCAAACCATTCACTAAGTTATCTTCACTGTCCATTCAACCATATCGTCAAAGGTCTTACAAAAGTTGTGGGGGAGGGGGATGTGTGGGTGGAACTCCCTTCTCCCATAATAATCCACAACACCAATTTTCGATACTCATAAAAACAAATACTTTGCTCCCTAAGCTCAAAACGTTATATCTATTTCACGCTCAGACCTGACATGACATTACCTCTTTTACATGTTACAGACAGTCTTAATAAAACTAGAGAAACATTAGGCAACAAAAACTCTTCACTGATTTCTGTTAACATTTTGCAAAGAAAAACTTGCATGTTCCTATTAGTCGCCTTTGTTCTAAAGCTACTTTTACAACATCAACAATAAATTATAATACAGCAATATCTACTTAACAACACGGTTATAAAATCAAGTCTTCCCAGGTCTTCTCATAGTGAAAGGTGGGTAGTGTAGTTATTCAACTCCATTATTAAAAAATATTTCCTAAGCATCTTTTACACCTGTTGGAGTTTCAGAGAGCCGTTGCAGTCTTTTTTTTTCATCTTTTAGTCAAAATCTTAAACAACGCATGTGTTTTCCTTCCCTGAGGGGGGACACCTATCAAGCTTATCTATCCCTCCCCTTGTCTACGCACACACAACAAGTAAGGTACAACTGGAATCTATCTTTTCCCCCTGCACTAATTTACTGATATAAAATTACAATGTTTTAGACAAAATTCCCTAGTCTCTTAACTGTATTCTCTCAATTAGGTTTAAAGGGACCTCCAAAGACTCCTTAAAGGGGAATCCGATCATCACCACTTTTGCTTTAATTTTGGAAATATTTATATTCTACTGAGTCACTGAAGACTTCCGGCGACGTTCGCGATAAGTTCGCGATATCCCCGAAAAAAGAATGCCTGATATGAACAAGAGAGGATGTTGGGAGAATTCAAGATAGGTATACTAACCCAATCTATTGCTTTTAAAATGCTTTCAAAACAGATTTTCTCACTTAAATTGTCAGCTTAAGCGAAAAACCTTTGATACAGGATGTCTTAAAGAATTTTCAAGTTTTAAACCTTGAAGAGTTATGGGTAAATTCAGTAAACTTGACGAGTTTTAATCTCAAATTTTTTTTCAAAAATCAGCACATGCAAAGCAAACCAAATGACGTCACAAATATGTTTAAATATTCTCAAGTAAAGTTAAACACATTCTGGCGGGGTAATCAGGGTGCGTATACTGTCTTGATTATTTTATAATTATGTAGTGGTTCAATTTGATCCATGGTTCAAATATTATTTTTCTTTGTTCCTGGGCGTTGTAATTTATGATCCCCAGCTTTAAACAAGGATAAAGTCGAACATAACAGTTACCTAAGGTCAAAGAAACTGACATGTACAACTGATCGAGTTCTTAAAGGCACTTGTGCCCTGGCAAGACTGTTCTGCGCACTGTGTTCCAGAAAGCTTCTTACCCGAGAAAGGGGTAACTTGGGAGTGCTTAGATTGTGAACCTTTTCTTCACATCTCCTAAAATACAGTGCAGGCTTTAACTGAGAGTTTGCCAAAACTAGTGAAGTACTTTTTTCTTTACAATGGACCTCTTGCTAGTTCAGTAACATTGTATTAATTATATAGTTATGCTGTGGGTGAGGATTTTACTTTTCTGATACGAACGCCTTTGTGTCACGCATCAGGTTCTGGTCTCAGCTCTAGTCAATACTGACCATACTGAGCATAAAAACCTCACACCGAAGCAGCACCAAATTGACAGTTATTGCTCAGCCTCCTGCTGCTTATTGAACATCTTTAATCCACTCCTCCAAGATGGCTGCCACATCTAAGCGTTCAATTTTATGAAGAATGTTTATCAACTGAAGAACAGTGACAGAAGTGTAATACTCTACAAAAAGTGAATCAGTTGGATTTCTGTGCTGTCCAATAAACTCAGTGGTATCTCTGTCCATGCCAAGCTCTTCTGCCACCATCCGAAAATCATCAAAAGACCAGTCACGCCGTATGTTTAGCTTCATGCAAATCTTGGAGTAAATTCTAAGGGGTAGTTGCCTCACTTTCATACTCTCCTTCACCTCCTTAGAGTATCTCTCTGATTGGTGGTGTCCCTGTGATTTCTGATTACCATATGTCTGCTGGTGTGTAGCAGAGGGAGGATGTCCAGCATATGTTGAGACAGGAATTTGTTGGTTTGTTGTGGGTAATTGAGAAGGGTAGCTTGGAACAGACAAATCTGAAGTTTAAAAAAGCGCACTTAGTCACTTCATTGTTTCATCTGTTATTACCATAATTGTAAATATGACTGTTACAATGTTTTCTATCAACCTAATTTCCAACAGCAATCTACATTCAACTGATTATTGTAGATAGGCCAGAACAGCAGGTGTTACAATTTGCAATAAATGCCTGCAATTTTTTTTCTCGCAATTTAGGGAGTTTTTTTGAAAACATTAGCCTTGATTTTTTGGGTTTACCAGAAAACAAATCCCAGCACACAAGCAGTGCTATTTTCCCCCAAGTCGCATAAAAATATTGGCACTTTTAACGTGCACGAGCTATTTTGAATGGCTGTCACGTGCGATTCTACTTAATGAAACAGTCTTTAACTCTGACGACTTGATTCTAAAAGTGTTCTAAGTTATTGATTCTTGAAAGAAAAGAGCCTTCACTTAAGGCACTAGTTACAAAACTATAGAGGTCTTCATAAATTCATGTTACTATTATTACTGTGAAAAGCCAGTCTGCATGAGATATACAGTCATAGAGTTTGCACGTGAAAGTGTTGGACTTTGCCCCTTTCGTGGCTCGTACGTGAGGGAATTCGAGTTATCACAAAGTAATCCACTAAACAGGATTATAAAAATAACTCATGCACACAATTTGGACATGAAGGTGTTGGACTTTATCCCTTTTACAATTCATACGTAAAATAACGCAAATTTTTTACTAGAAAATTTGCTCAAACGATTTTAAGAAATCACCTCGGCTTTACAATATCTGCAGTTAAATTATGCTTCATGTAACGTTAAGGTTGATAGCCTAACATTTATTTCCTTCCAAGAAAATTAGCAAACTGCCGAAATATATTTCTTCTTAAATCATGTTATTCCGCTCAATAAAACAATATGCAATAATTGCAATTTTGTCGACTAGCTTCTTCCCATTTAATTCCCTGACGTTACTGTTTCTACTTAAGTTACGCATCTTTACTAATATAAATAAAATATGTTTCAAAAACAATAATGACTCTGAAGTAGCAAGCATGTTTCATGTTGTTCACTTGATTCATTTTTTTTTTTGCTGGTACGGAAAAGGTCTGTTGAACTTTGTAAGCGAGAGAATAAAGCTTGTTTACAGGATCAACAATACTCGCCTTGCCTTCCAAACTTCTAAAAGCACAATTTGTAGGCCGCACACTTCAGACTTAAGTCCAGATCTACATTTCAATTATTGTTTCATTGGAGGAACTTTGAAAAATAAATGATCTTTTACACTCTACCTTGAAGCAGGTGAAATACGTGTGTTGTACTGTTCGCGATAGCCGAATTAGGTCAAAAATCAGAGAAATGTCTTGAAGCAGCATCTACACTAACATATGGACCCTTAAACAGCTCCATCACTGTACTCAGCGTTTAAATCATAAAGATATTTCAATGTTATGCTTCTAAACAACTTTAGCCGTAATAAAAGATAAAAAAATTGTGAAGAATCAAAATGGCCGTCTCAAAGTGCCCTTGTTTGACCTTAAGCCGAGTAAATGTCATGTTAGATGCTAAAATCTCATTGGTTGCTACGCATCAACTCAAAGTACCTTGAACCTTATTGGCCCCTGCAACAGACATCCGAACATACAAAGCCACAAAGCCACAAAGCCACAAAGATACATACGCTCAAACCACTGACATATGAGCTATTTTTTTCAAAATAGCTCCATAAAAGTTAGAAAGGCTGTACCTGCTTCAAGGCTGACATAATGGTATTCATAAATATGTCCCAGTAAAAGTTCAGCCACATCGCAAGTAGTCGAATCAGGCTCTATTTTCACATCAAATTCAGGATGACTGCTGATGATATGAATAACACAGTTAAAATGCCTTGCTGCTGCTTGGAGAATCAAGTGGTCTCCCCATGTACCATCCCTTGCCATCTTCTCTAAATATTCTTCCCATGTTGGATACTCCTTCTGGTCAACAAAGTTAAACAGGCTCAATGAAGATCCACTATCATAATCCTAAAGAAAAGGTAAAAGAGATCTATAATAACTTCTGAAAAAGGTAAGATGAGATCAGAGATAAAAAAGACTGTGTTCCTTGTGTTTGAGCCCAAATAGCACGCAAAAGGAAAGTCAGCAAGTGTAGTTTCCAAACTTACGAAACGATTTTCAAAGGTTTTTCTTCATTTATGTAAATGTGACCAGTACAGGCAGGTCTGGCTAGGATTTTAATCTACGAGTTCCCACTCTATGGTCCCTTGCCTTAACATCTGAAATGTAATTATTATTTTGGACAGTTTTTGAAATAATCATTATAATACAGTCAAACCTCTCCACAATGGCCACCTTGAGGACAGAAGAAAGTGGCCTTTGTGGAAGGGTGCCCGTTTTGGGGAGGTAAGGGGTGTAAAGAGTTTGCTTCTTATTTGATTTATCAAAGCAAAGAAAAAGTTAGGCCTGCATGAAGAAATATAACTGTACCGCATAAAAAAAAATACATACAAAGGTTGGATGATCCTTGAGATACTGAACCAACTCAGTTCTCAATTCCATCTCTGAATATGTCGGTCCTTTCTTGATTTCCAGTTGGCGACACAGTGCACTAAACATGCAATTACCATTCCCTTTATTGTCAATAATCCTCAATCCCTTGGCTGCAGCTTTCCTTTCCACATCCGTAAATAAATCAGTTTTCTTGTGGCTCTTGTCTGGATAATGATGCAATTGCTGTAATTTCCATAAAGCTTGTTTTGATAAAAAGAGGAACAAAAAAGCATACTTAATTTCACTCTTCAAACTAGTGGTAGAAACAGAAAAGTGGTCCTGGGAGCTAATACAAACTGAGAATGACACAAGCAGTGTAATTGCATAAGAAGCCTGAAAAAAATTCAGGACTTCGACTTGATTTAAACACGTGACCTTGCGATACGCAATTGCACAAGTTGCGTTCACAACTGCGAGGATCATTCTTCATTTGATTTCACTTCCGCAGTTCTCATATATGATTTATTTTATATACAATTGTCACATTCCATCTCTATCACAGGAACATATGAACACATAACTGACAAGCTCCAGTGCCTTCATAGCTTAGTTGGTTAGTGTGTTGCACTGGCAAACATATCTGTAACATGAAAAGTGCTAATAATTATATACCCAAATCACATTTTTACTGTAACTTATTACCTGTTTGCTTTTTTTTATAACTTGAAGGGCAGTGAAATTCTATAACCATTGTGCAATATTATTGACATTCATTTACCAGAGTTAGTAAAGCAGCACTGAGATCCTTGTTATGGGCCCCAAATGGACTCAACGAATTACAGGAAGTGCATTTCAAATTTCCCTTCAACTTGATAGGCAAATCAACGTTGCCTCTTAAAATAGGCCAATCATTGTCAGTGCATACTTAAATCCTTGTACACAGGTGGGGACCCAGAACAAAGATTTCGGCACTGTTTTGCTGCCGGACTTAAGCAGAGGTTTAGTTTTGTCTGATTCATAGGCTAAAATGTGTGTTACTGAGCAACAAGAAAGCTTTACCTGTAGACTGATGGGTTGGACCATCTACTTGCTCACTACAACTCTGTCTGGAATCAGCTTCATCTTTCCCGACAACTGTGAAACATATAGCAAAACAAAACCTTGGTCATTCTATAGGACTATTGACTGCTTAATTCTTACAATGAGTGACATGTAAGCTACAGTTTGCAGTTGCACAATGTCGTCCAACTATGTTTGGCTGCAATTAATATTCTGCTCATGCATAAACGAAACAACACTTTTCTCCTCCTTACGATTGCTCTTGAGTGAAAATGACAGATTGCTTCACGCTTACGGCATCTTACCGCTTCCCAAAGATATTCATTCAAAACAAACTAGGTGATTGAATGATAAAACAATTACTGAACTCCGGTATTGCAAAATATTGTGATAATTTGTGTCGTGCAGATCAATTGTTTGCCTCAGCCTTCAGCTTCAGCAGATAATTGATCTGCTTGCCACTGACAAATCACCATATTTTTACTCAACCTTGTCGAATAATTAATTTTTCCCTGTTTGATTGAACCTTCCTTTTCAGTTTTTTCCTTCAACTTTGCTTGTGGATTTTTTCTTGCTGACTAAGATATACATGTAGTCCTTCAAAACTGAACATTCTCTGAAAAAAGAAACGAATAGCAGGGCTGCAAGTAATTTTTTTTCTTTGCAGCCCTAGAATAGAATCTGCTAGCCTAAATGAAAAATAATGTGACTTACCACCAGCAACTTCTTGTCTTACAAGATCCACCACATCATAGCGATCAATTTGCTTAAGGCCAGTAAGCAAATCCTTCACAGTTAAATTTGGTTTCCACCACTGAAGCCATTCAAATAACATCTTAGTGGGACTCTTAGCTGAAACTTTAGAGGTGTCAAATGCATCATATTCCTCATGAGGAATTTCTAACCTGTAAGCTAAATTGCGCCAGTTCTTAACAGCTCTCATTTCTTTGTTTAGGCGTTCTCCAATATCTGCCAAAAGTTCGGAACCATCAACAGCAACCTTCCTTACCAAAGAAGAATCTATTTTGAATAAAACAAATCATGACCAGGGTTAAATGAAATATTTCTGGTGTGAGTACATTGAAATGTATTTAAAAATTAGGAAGTGGATATTTTTGTACCGGTAAATGACTCTGGATACCGTAATATGCAGTTACAGAGAAAATCCATACTCCCCACGGAGGGCAACGGAAATTCAGAGGGGAGCGGGGCCCAAAAGGAGGCAATTTCCAAGGGGGTGGGGGGGGGGGGTTACCTCTCTCAAGTCTTTTTTTTTTTCCCAGGGCTCCAAGTAAGATTGATGAGCAAGCTATCAGTTATTTTACTGTTAATCAGTGTTTCAAATCAAAAATTATTGTTTTGATTCATAAATGATCTTTTATTTGCAATAGACTGAGTGCTTTTTTCACAGCTTGCACGATAGTTTATGTAACAAGATTGCCATCAGCTCATAAATAAACTTCCGGTTATCTTATGTTACTTTGTTACACAATATATTGTGGTATTCAATGCAATGTGGTCATGTTCTAATAAGCCTTCTTCTAACGTGTTTTTAACTGAAAGGAAGTAATTGAAGTTCACTGGTTTGAGAGATTGCATCACTTGTGTTGTGTACGGCCGTACCACCTCCACAGTTCTCAGTGACTTACTGTTAATAATTAACCAAGAAAGACCTCTACGCACAAGGGAAAATTGAGACTATTTGACACTGTATTAAGTAAAACATAAATAAAAAGATTTTCCCTCTTTATCACGCAAACAATTATTTTTTTGGAACTACACAATATGATAATTTAGTCAGCAACAACTTTGCCTTATTTTTTGATTTACCTGGTGGAAGTAATAGCACTTTCTTCTGTTTTCTAGCTCAGGTATGCCACTGAAGAAGTAACAGGGCTGTACATTTTTGAGTGAGCACATCCTACATAATTTTGTCTTATTTGAATGTGGTTAAAAACAGGGTTACGAAACAGTCTGAGGTTGCTGTCCTGGTACATGTATGTATTAAGTACTGGTCCAGATAAGAACGAAACTTTACTATTGTCTCTACTACACTTCTGATTGGTCCAAACATCAAATTTTAAATAATCACAAAACAGCATGGATGTATATTAATCCCTTGTTATTTATAAACCAACTTCCTTATGACAAAATCTCGTCTGAGTTTGCATTTGTATGTTACACAGAAACCCTATGTGAGGGACATGTAAAATTGTAAACTTTTCTCAGCCATTGTTTGAAACTCCTATTACCTGGTTGGAATCTTTCAACACAACAAAAACCCTTAAAACATTGAGTTTTTAAAGTCAATTATTTCCTAAACTGCCTTTTTGTACGTTATGCATTCTCTGTGTGAAAATAAAAACATTCCTATGCGAGGAAAGTATATTACACCATAACAAAATAAATTGCTTCCCACGATAAAGCAGATTTTGATTCCTCAGCAACACCCCTACGTCTTGCACCCTCTCATACTGCCTCTTCAACCCACTTAAGGTTTGTTTACCTTTACTTGTGAAAAAAGGCTGTGGAGGGGGTGGGTTGGGGATTCTATTAAGGTGGGGTTTACTGTGCTGGGTTCTATTTGCAGGTACAGCTGTGAGTCCAATTATATAAGGTGTTATGACTGGGGCTAAGGTTCCAGTTACAGGACATGAAGTCACACTTGCACACCTGCAAATTAAATCCTCTGGGATCTACAGTACATTTAAATCAAGACCGAATGATAATGTACATGAAAGAAAACTTAAATTAAAAATAGAGAAGAAAGAGAACACAACATCAACTGTTTATAACCAAACAAAACACAAACCTTCACACTTGTGCTTTTTAAGGATGTTTACTATATCCTTCCTTTCCATTTTAACAAAGTGACTGCGCAGTTCACCCATGGTCAAATCTTTAAGACCATCAGCAGTACTCATGTGCTGGAACAGTGCTGCTGTGGGGCCTGAGCCCCTGGATCCAAACTGTTCAGTCACTTGCTTTCTGATTCCAAAGTGTGTTGCCAGTGATTTCCAGTTGCCAATTGTTCTAGACTCTGTATCAAGCTTTGATGATAGCATGACAATAAACTTTGGTCGGCCAGATATCAGGTCAGCTACCTTTTCCTCGTCACGATACCCCCCTGTAAGAAGAGAACATTGGCAGGTATCATTTCACTGAAGAAACATAGGCAATGCAGATTACTTCATACATGTATGTACATGTATAAGACTCACATGTAGTGCAAAAATACTGTAACTGACACTATCTTACTTTTATATTGCATGCTTTGGACTTTTATGTACCTCCAAGTTCTTCAATTATTATTTAATTTAATTTAATTTAAGAGTAAAGGTCTTTAAAAATATTCATGTAATAAAAATGTCATTGAGTTTGCCTGGTTATCTTTGACATAGTGGAGATGTGCAATACTATAAGCAATCATCTTCACCACCTGTGAAATAAAAAATTGTTTTGTCTTAATACCTTTTATTAAACTGTCAATTACATCATTGCGATATATCTTTGCCAGTTTGATCTTCAACTCTCTAACTTCCAAATCCGGATGCCAGTTTTCAGCAAGATAGTTAAACATATCCTCAGTAGGGCTGTGTTCAGTGAACATGTCAAACTTTCTTGTTTCCTCAGCAGGTACATTCAAAACAAATGCTAAGTGCTTCCAACACTTGATTACTCGACTTTCGCGGTCCAGGTACTTCGAAAGTTTCTCCAAAAAAAGAGTGTTATCAGTCACAGCCTTTGAAATTAATTGATCATCAACTGATGGGAAAGAAACACAATCAATAACCTCTCATAGTAAATGATATATCAATATTAAGTCATTAACAAGCCCTCTCAGGTGAACTGGTGACATCACTGAGAAAACTGGGAAAAAAAGTATGCTGTATTTGCAGAACAGTGAATGCAACCTTGAACTTTGTTAAGGAATTCTTTCTACCCTTAAAATGTTTTTCTCCTTTACGCTGTTAGGTTACTTAACCACTGACTGACAGCAGATCAGTAGGTCCCATATTTGTGTAGTATGACAACTTGTAAATACAGTAAACACCTGCTAATAAATTATATGATCAACATGTCACGAGCAGGGGACAAAGAAAAAATCTGAGTCCACGACAGGAACTGAACTTATGACCTTTTGTACACCGGTCGGATGCTCTAACCACTGAGCTATGAAGGACTTATAATTTGCCCAGCTTGGCACAAGTCCTTCGTAGCTCAGTGGTTAGAGCATCTGACGGGTGTACAGAAGGTCATTAGGTTCCTCTTTTTGACTCAAACCTGGCACAATAATTTGCATGGCTGATTTTTTCTTGTCCCCTACTCATGACATGTTGATCACATCACTTCTCATTTTCTTTTTCGAGCTTAAAATTTACCATCTTTATTTATTTATCAAGAACCTCCTTTTTTTTAAATCTGGCAAAATAGGTTCTTGTATTTTGTGGTACTCATTGGCAATTTAGCCTAAGTAGGTTTTTATTTTTTATGAAGGAGCTAAAAGATTGTTGATTACCAGAAAAATAAATAAACTTTCTATTTTATTCACAATTGTATTGACCCTGACCCTCAAATTTATGTGCAGTTTACTTACCTATGTTCTTATTATACCTACATTTACAACTCAAAGTTACACTCCTTTGTTAAATCGTTTATCATAATTTACCTGTAACCCACATATAAGAACCTGCTTGATGTTGCTTGGCTAAACAGGTTCTTGTATTTTGGGGTATTAAAGTGGCAAATTTCTGCCAGGAGGTACTTAATCCACAGTTCCTTATTAGTGGGTGTTTACTGTGCTTTCAGCCTTTCAGTAGAGTTCAGGGCTGTGCTCTAACAGCACCCGGTGGTCCCTTGCACATTACGTTTGCTCTCAAGTGACTAAAAATTATAGCACAAAAGTATTAAAATGCATTAACCATGCACAAAGAGTTTAGCACAGTAATAAAAATGCCACATGCAAATTTGTGTGTATCATCAGAGATTTCTTAAATTACTCACCTGTTAATTTATTTGCTTCCTTTTTTTGATTTGAACCCGGCGCAACAATTTGCATGGCTGATGGTGTGGCTGATTCAGGCGTTGACGTTTGACTTGGAGGAAAGGACGGATATGATGAGGAGGAGTCTGTGATGTTCCCAGCATATGGAGAATCCATTTGCGCAGCATTGCTGCTTAAGTCATCTCCTGTTGAAGGTTTTTTGGGCCTGGATTGTATCGCTAAATATCCATGCTGAGCAACAGAATTAGCAGCTAAAGATGAATCAGGAACAGCAGTAGACGAAGTGGCTGTAGCAAGGTGACCTGAAGAAGTGCCTTCAACAGACCTACCACGGACACCTTCAGGGGCATGACTGGGAAGCAAACCATGATCAGTTTGACCAGAGTCCTCAACAGTATCTTGGTCAACTAATGGAGCAGCCTCAGCTGCAAGTTCCTGTTGACGACCACTTGGTCTATTAATGTGAGAAAAACCATTATCATCAATTCTTGAATGAGCCCCTCCAGAAGTATTGCTACAGTCCAATTGAGGATCAGTGACCAAACATGAATCAATCACTGCCTGGCTAGGTCCTCCACATGGAGTGTCCCTTTGGGCCACTTGAGAGGTGTCTCCCAAAACATCCCTAGAAATCAAAGCTTGTTCAATATCTATATCAGTTTCATTGGTTGTTGTTTTACAATGAGAGGTGTGACTGCTAACTCTATCAGTTTCCCGCTCAGAACATTGAGAAGAAGAAGGTAAAACATGACTGACACTCTCAAGATGATTACGGGAGCCATTTGGACAGTTTTCATTTTGAATTTTATATTCTGAGCCATCCTGTACAGTACCATTACTGTTTAAATTGGCATCAAAATCTTGATTAGCAAAATTATCAGCAGTATCTTGAGTAACAGGCATGGATCTACTGCCAAACTGCTGCTGTTTGCCTTCCACAACACCTTGATCACGTTTACTTGTAGCCTTTGAGAATTCTTTTAACATCTTTTCTTTTCTTTTTGCTTGATCATCCAAAAATAACCTTCTTCCTTCTTGCTCCAAGTCACCATTTTCCATTTCTTGCACTCCAGCGGCAGAGGTTATAACCTTATGAACACTTTCCTTTGAACTTTTTGATATCTTCTTTTTATTCTCTTGACTTCTACTCTCCTTACTGTGATCCTTTCCCATTAGTCCATTCATGGGTGCAGAGAAGTTGAGCTATTCACGTTCCATAGAAAACAGCTCAAGATTCATCTGAAATATGCAAAGGTGAAAAAGGTGAAGAAAAACTCCACAAAATCTTTTGGGCTCACTGTCAGTCAACTGCGGGTAAATCACAACCAATAGTAAGCTCATAAATGGCCAACAGTTGTCCAACTGTTTGCAGTCAGTCAACTATCAACTACCTGTATCAGCTGACAAAAGCATGAGTTAACTGGTTCTCAGCCAGCTTTATTTATCTGAAAAGCAGGCAAAATACATTCTACAATCAGAGACAAAAGGAGTTGAGACACTTCACCTACAACTGGGCTTTTTTATGTTTTACTAACTTCAAAAGGAGGAAATATAGCTTTTCCTCCCCCATCCCCTCCATGCAATGTTGTGCCGCTGTTTGAGCTACCTATAGAAAACAACAAACACCCCAACCGGCTTTGAAAGGAGGTGACAGGGCAGGGGCGCGGATGTCTCAACAATTTTGTCGCCAATTGCAGCAGCCACCTAATAAAAAAAAGTTCAATTTGCATATGATAAGTAAGTCAAGCATAGACATATGGTTAGAAGACATCTTATATGAAAGCAAATGATGCATCAGTCACTTGAAATGCCTGTCCCCCAATTCCCAGTGCATAGTGGGCAATTAAACATTACAGATTACAAAGAAAATCAGGTTTATAGTTTTTTGTACTAGCCTGAAAAATGAGTTATTATTATTTATTTATAAATTAATAACATCATTAGGTAATAGACCTTTCCACAGCTTTTTCAACTTTTGACATGGATAAATCAGAAATAATATATCGACTCCACTGGAAAGAGTGCTAGAATTGCCAAGTTTGCAGATGGTCTGTTAAAACTACACAGACATAGTAAAATTTTAGAGATGCTTGTATGGTGGAAGGGCTCAAACCCCACCATACAAACATCTGTAAATTTTGTAACTTTGCGAAGCTATATCTTAGCTTGTTTAAGACGTATCACTCTCAAACTTAGCCAGTTTACTAATTTTACATGTAAGGCACTCTTTCAAGTGGTGTCACTGGATTCTCCCTAACTGGTGCATGTCAAAAGTTGAAAAAGCTGTGAAGGTTCTTTTAATATTAATTGCTTTTATTAATCAATTCATTGTCATAGTAAAAAGAATCACTTGTAATAATATTATTTTGCTTTGTCAGATCAGATTGAAAAACAGCTTTTGATCAATTTTTCTTGCAGTGTTAATGTAATTTAATAATAATTATAATAAATATTTTATTTAGACTGCAAAACATAGATCAGCTAAGTATGAAAAAACTGCTGGTATAAACCTATGTGCAGTAATAAAATATTTCAAGATTAAAAAGAAAAATCAATATTACATAGTAAAATAGTAAAAAGACTAATATTTACAATACAAAAAGTTGTTAAAAAATTAAAATGAATTAATCTACAATGAACATTTATGCTGTGTTTTGTCTTGTTCTTGCAAATACTTCAATGTCTTTCTTCTAAAAGATCCTAATGTTAGGCTATCAACCCGTAATTCTTTTCGTAACTCGCTCCAATCCTTTACTCCTGTGAATTTAAAGGTAGACTAGCCAATAGTGGATTTGACTTTAGGCAGATGAATTTCTCATCTATCTCCTAAGGTTCTACCATGGCATTTGGATCTCAAGGTCATATAATTATGAAGTTTCGCTGGACAGAGCTGATTGTTAACAATTTTGAACACTAGCTGAAGATGCATGAATCTTCGCCTACTAGATAGTGTTAAAAGTCCTAGTTTGTCTCTCATCATTTGTGAACAAGTCAGGTGGTTTGCCCTCAAGATAGTCCTCATAGCTTTGTTTTGTAATCGTTCTGAAAAATCAGAGTTCTTTTTGGAGCAAGATCCCTATAAAATACAACCCTAATCTAAAATACGTAAAATATTGTCGCTTTATAAATCTTCAAAAGGGTAGTTGGATCCGGAAAGGATGAAATCCTATTCAGCAACTTAAATTTGGGGTAGACTCTGGAGGCGACATAAGATATGCAACTGTTCCAAAATATAACAATTCGTCTACTATCGCACTGAGGTACTTAAAGGATCTCTTCGGCTCTAGAAGCGAATCACCGTAAGACATACGAACATCTCTGGCAGTTTTGACTGCCCTGTGTGATGCAATAACCATTGTCACCGTCTTTTTTGTGTTACAAATAAGACCATTGTTAGAGACCCTCAGGCTAATGCTTCTGATATCCTCGATAATTCTGTTCTCGGCCTTGCCAACGTCTTTGGAACTAAAATGAAACTCGGTATTGTCTGCAAATAGGGCAACATCAGAATTGTGACATGTTTTAGATATGTTGTTTATATGGATATTAAACAAAGTTGTACCCAGGACCGATCCTTGCGGGACTCCAAATGGGAGAAGTTGAGGCTCAGAAGAGGAGTCTCTACATACAACAAATTGAGATCTGCCTAATAGGTGGCTGTTAAACCACTGAAGAGTGTTCCCTTTAATACCATAAGATTCAAGTTTGGCAAGCAGTATATCATGCTTGATGACATCAAATGCTTTTCTCAAGTCTAGAAAAACGTAAACAGACTTTAGACCATCATCGATAGCAAACTTCCAAGAGTCTACTACTTTGAGTAATGCCACTGTCGTCGAAGAAAATTTGGAGTAGGCGAATTGGTGCTGTTCTGTGGGACCGACCTCGTGTGTGAACTTTTGTAAGTCGGTGTTAACAAAAGACTCCATGATCTTCAAAATACAGGCCAATAACGAAATAGGTCGATAATTGTCACAATCAGTTGGTGAGTGTGGTGGTGGTGGTGTTGGTGAGTGTTGGTGAGTGTTGTAAGTGTTAAGAGTGTTATGTTGGCGAGTGTGGTGGTCGTGGTGTTACCCTGGCTATTTTCCAGACAGATGGAAATTGACCAGTGTGAAGCGACCCATTGAAAAGGGGAGACAGACTCAGAGAAATGTCAGGTGCCGCAAATTTAAGTGCCTTTACAGAAATTCCGTCACATCCTGTGGCTTTGGATTGATCGAGTTCCTTGAGAGCTTTAAAAACTTCATGTTCATTATGTAATGAAAAATTAAACGTCCTGATGTAGGGAGAGTCAGGCTTTGGCGCTGTTTCAGATACGAAATTGTGATGATTGGCCAATAATGTTGTTGCAATGGAAGTAAAATAGGCATTCAATTGCATTAGTGATATCCTTGTCACTAGTTAGTTCTTTCTTGTCTACAATTAGACTGCTAATACTACTTTTCTCATTCTTGTTTGGAAGAATCAAGCTAATTGCCTTCAAGAAGCTTCCCGGGTTTGATTTACAATCTTGTAATTTATCAGTAAAGTAAGTCTTTCTGGCTTTTCTGATAAGTGAGGTAACAAGATTACGCAGTCACCTGTATTCCGTCCAGTCAGAGGACCGATAGAATTTCCTAGCCTCTTTGTGGTACTTATTGTGCCTCCTCATCATGACCAGAATCGGTGTGTCCAATATTTTTAAAATTGCCGAAACAACTTTACTTGCCAAAGTTTTCCTTTCCAAGGCTTGGGCAAGAATTCACTAACCAGATAGCAAAATTGACTAGTCCCAGACCATTGAACATGACTTTCTTTGTACGCTACACTGGCTTTGTATTAAAATACCACTTATTTCCTCATCCCACGCCATGTAGTTTGTTAAAATCCCTGTCTTAGAGGGGCATTAGAACTTTACACCATATTGATGACAACCCCCTAGTCCATTCAGATTTATTTGCTAGTCTCTGTTAAACATGTTCTAATGAACATGTCAATTTCAAGCAAAAACAAATATAGACAATAGAAAAAGCAATTTTTGTATGCAGACTGAACATAAGCTGCCACAGTTGGCCAAAATAAAAAAAAAACAGATATTAATGAATTATAGAAATGCATGCAACTTTCTCTCTTCTGCTGTCACCTTTAAGAAACCAAGCTTTTTCTTCAGTCATTCATCCATTTTTTAGAAATCCCCACTACCGTCCGCACATCCGACAATGCCTGTGTGCTGTTAAATCCCCTCTCATGGTCCTGTTGGCTCAGGTATTTTATTAATTCCACTCACTCCCCTTGTTAAAACCTGGTATTGGCCAAGGTGTCGCCATATGGAGATAGCAGAGACTTACCCCATCTCCCTGGGGTTTCAAATGACTGATGCATATTACTTATCAATAGTATCATTAGTATTATCAACTCTAACAGTAAGTTTAAATTATCATTGAGTATACATGTCTGAAAAAACATCACCTAAGGTTAAGCGAATTGTGGTATATCATAACCGTATTTTTGCTTTAACTAGTGAAGACTAGATACAGTTGTTTAAGAACTGAAAAGTCAAGTTATCGTTCATAACTAAAATGTACCGTCGATGCATTAGCCTAAACTGACGAGTTCGATTTTCCATTTAAGCTTAAAAATATCATCGCATAAATGTGATAAATAACCATTTTAACAGATTCCTTCGCGCACTTCTAGATCTTGATATGCTATAAAGGCAATAACTTACTTTTGAAGTAGATTTGATGTCGTTCTACCACCATAACTAAGCTATATTTGGTGGTTACATACAACCTAACAGTTTTCAAATGCAATAAAAGGGGAAAATACCTTGCCTGCATACAGGAAATACGTATGATCTTGTATGGTCAATTGGCCAGTATTTCATTACAATTTCCAGTTTCTTGAAGTGAAAAACATTCAGAAATTCACAGTCAATGTCCTTTCTGCTTTTTATCATATCTGGAATTTCTCAAAAGGGCCCAGAGCAACTCTAAACTGTAAACATTCCAGTTTTCATTTTGCTGCTGAGGTTCCTGGCTTGGAAACCTCGCCTTCATTGCAGACAAGAGACAAGAGCCGAGAAAGACTGGACTGAGCTCAATTTCTTCCTCAATTTTCCTTCACTTATGTTTGGCTTCCTCTTCCAAGGTTCCACGTTAACTTTGCTTCTCTTTGGTCGGGGTTGTGTTTCTTTTCCTTCTTTTACGCGCCTTTAACGGTGAAATAACAAACGTCGCATACTGTGCAGCACGAATGCTAGAGGAGAGGAATCTAAGAAGTCCCCGTCATGGCCGTCGGAATTAGGAAACTCAGCGAGAAACACGAAGGTATTTAACCTCATGAAAGTTTTATTTTTCGTCTCGTGCATTTTAAACTCTACTTGATATGTAAAACTGGACATTTCGTAAAATATTAAAATATCAGGATCGTATCGTGCCTCTCCGTCTCTCTGGGCTAGATGTAGTATAGCTGTTGGCAAGGACAGTTAGCAGGAAACGGTCAAACCCCCTGGTAAAATCCCCGATCTGGGTTTTTACAAACATAAGAAATTTAGGTTTAATATGGAAATCTTAGCTAAGTTGAGAAACTATTTCTCCTGGTCTTTTAAGGATACTTATGACTGCATGTGGCTATTACTTTACTTTTGTAGAATACTAGTGTAGTAAAAATAATCGGAAAATGTACTGTCCCCTCGGTCCCGGGGTACTCTCTTTATATGGCCTAATTCACTATTTAACAAATAAATTCCATGCTGCCGTGCGTCTGTTCAGTAATAGATCACAGAAGATGTCAAAATGTGGTAAAAACAAAAACGCTGTGTCTAGATACCCAGCAGCCGGGAACTGTTTTCAAAAAACTAGATACACGGCAGTCAGAAATTTTGATCAATTTTCTCTGAATAGCTAGTTTAATTCCTCTTAGAACACAAGATATTTGTTTAGAAATCTCAAGTGATTGTAAATATTGCCTTAGGTTAAAAGTAAAAGCAACTGTTGAGTTTGGGCATAGAGTGAAATCTCAATGTGTTTGACACTTGAAAAACATTAAAGTTCTCACACACTGAGTCAACCGTGACTCCCGATGAATGTCCACAGAACTTATCAATGAAACCTAACCAGAGTATTTAGTGTTTGGTCAGAAATGCCAAATGATTCTAAATAAAGGTTTCGTATTGTTGTGAACAAATTCTCCAAGCTTGCATTTTGCACATTCTTTAGAATCTTGGCTCATGGGTATGGTTTTCAAAAATATAGAACTGATGCCCGGCAGTCGGAAATTCACGTCCAATTTGCACGAAATATCTCATTAATTTGTGTAATAACATCAGATAGTTGTTAAGAAAAATCAAGCCATTTCAAACACTGCTTCGGGCTTGAAGTAGAGGCAACTGTCGAGCCTGGGCATAGAGTGAAATCTTTATTAGTTTCGACACAGTGTAGTATTTGCGTCACACAACTTAAGTGCTACACTGGAGGTTGAAGGGCACTCTTCTGCCGAGTCAACAGATTTAACGTTGTTTGCAACTCTCAGAGGAAGATTTTTAGAAGATATCCGGTAAGACTATAGACTCTTTATAATTTACATAGAAATCAAGTAGACTCAACAGATGCCGAGAAAGAAAGAAAGTAAAGTGAGAAGTGAATTAAAGTGAAAGTACAGTGAGAATTTCGGACTGCCAGGCGTCTAGTATTTTGAAAACCGTACCCGTCACGAGTCCAGATTCTAAAGAATCATGCTTAATGCAAGCTTGGAGAATTTGTCCACAACAACATGAAACCTTTATTTAGAATTGCTTGGCATTTCTAAACAATCACTAAACACTCTGTTGAGGTTTCGCGGATTTCTGTGGATATTTATTGGGAGTTCACTCAGTGTGTGAGAACTTAAATATTTTCAAAGAGTTGAAAACATTGAGATTTCACTCTAAGCCCAGGTTCGACAGTCGCTTCTACTTTTAACCCAAGGCAATATTTACAATCATTTGAGACTGCTAAACAAATATCTTATGTTCTTAGAGGAATTAAACAAGCTATTCTGAGAAAACTGGTCAAAATTTCTGACTTCCGGGTATCTAGTTTTTTGAAAACAGTTCCCAGCTGCTGGGTATCTAGACACTTCCAAACAAAAAAGTGGCACACAAGCCACAGGCAAGTGTGTCACTGATGTTTTTACCACATTTTGATGTCCTCTGTGATCTATTACTGAACAGACCCGCAGCAACATGGAATCTATTTGTAAATATACAATTATCAGAAAAGAAAAAAAGACACTGATACACATACCTGCCTCGTACCACTTGACTTTTCAAAGATTTTTGCTAGTTTAGGCATTTTTTAAGTCCCAAGGACTATTTTTCGTCTCTGCTTTTATTTTACTTGTATACAGTTTCTTGGAAAAGTTTTTCTACGTCTTTTCTTGCTCGAAGAAGAATATTAATGATGGCGAAAACATTTTGCAAAACAGCGAGTCTCTCATTGTGATCACACGATGGTAACTATTGTGAAAATTCCTTTTAGTTTAGGTGTTCTCATGTTGTAAAGAGCTCTTTCTGTCTTTGTTTCTCCAGGCTTTCTTCTTTGTAAATAGCTCCTGCTAATTTTTTTTGGGCTTTCACTTGCTTTTTAAAATTGGAAATAATCTCACAAACATTTTCAAAATTGCGTGCCATGGTGAACAAAACAATCGAAACAAGTTTTCCGTGACGTCATCCATGTATCTGTCCTCTGATAGACCATAGGCAATGATCAATCACAGCGCACGTATAGCATTCACATCATTGTATAATTTCACATAGATCATAATGCACCTTATTTACTCCGCAAAATTTTGCAGAACTATTGTCTTGGATTTCTCTTGGGTTGACTGTAATACCCAGGAGAAATTGGAAACAATGGTTATGCAAAATTCTGGGTGGGTAAACAATGTGCATTATGGTCTGTGTGAAAATGGTAAATATGGAGATGTGCTGCTGAACAAAGCTGAAGGGCACTTAATTTTCAATAGTGCTTAAATTGCTATTAGAACTGCGATGGTGATAACTTCTGTTTTGTAAGAGTTGTCACCATATTTTCAGCAGTGCTGTTTGTCTGCATAATTTTCTCTGAAAAAAGGTAAAGTCAACTTGAATCTTTTGAATGATAGAATAGCACTTGGCAATTCCAACATACATGTATATAGTCATAACTTTCTCACAGTTTTGTTGCTTTGTTTTTCTTTGGTGTGTCTCGTTGTACATTTTTGGGGAAATATGTTTTAAATATTTTTGCTAAATCTTAATTAGGAAAAGGAAACAGAAAAGATGCTCCCAAGAATGAATATGTGGTGAAAAACAAAGAGAAGAAGCCCAGCTTAGAATCTTCATTTGGAAAAAAATTACAGGGACTGTACGTGTCTGCTCTTTCTGGTGAGCCTGAAAATCCTGTGAATGGGGAAAATGCTTCAGGTGATGTTCAGCCAGCTGATGGACCACCCCTGACTACTAACCAGGGGTCACCTCCTGATGCTAATTCCGCTGCTGCTGCTGCTGCTGATGGTGAAACTAATAACTGTGTAAACACTGACAGCACAGCAGCTCAGCTTGCAGCGTCATCTCCTTCCACTGCTGCAGACGGTGATACACAAAACTCTATTGACCGTGAGGATGCAGCATCTGAGAGGAGTGAGAACAGAAATTCTGAACAACAGCAAAGTTTAACTGCCTTTCCAACCCAAGTGGAACTAGAGCCTAGCGCTGATCAAGAACCCACAGTGACAGCTGGTGAAGAAACACGTCAACAAGAGGAAACAATCAACTATGAAAATTTTCTTGGTGAGTAATTTTCCATTTTGCTGTGGGATGCTGCTGTGGACGTTTCGCACGGAGGAACGTCTGCGACTCAGCGACAGAAATTCCATACTGATGATGCAAATCAATGTTTACATAATAAATCTGGTAGTTATAAGGTTCCAAATACAAATTTGTCCAATTTTTCGTGTCTTTTGGTCGATTTTGGTGAAGTGTTGTGTCCATCTGCCAACAAGCTCCAGTAAAACTCAAATGCTTCTTCTAGAGAAGACTATATTCCACAAATATTGACTCTTTTGTTAGAGATTCTTCCCATTTACATTTTGACCTTTGTGGCCTTTTGTCTTTTGTCTGTCATTCGTGAACAATAGCTAAAACAAAGTAACTACTTTGTCAACCAATCAGCGCTTCTGACCGGATTCTAGACAGATTTTCCGTCATCAGTATGGAATTTCTGCCGCTGAGTTGCAGACATTCCCCCGCATGAAACGTCCCCAGCGGCGAAGAGCGAGAAGAAATGGATGTTTTTGCAGGCTAATGTAAACTTTGCACTAAATAGCCTTTTGAAGCTAGGTGAGCTTTTTTCTGGTCACTGTCGTAGGCTTTAATGAGCCAAAACTGCTGTTTGGAAGTTGATCACTTCGTGGCCTTCTGTTTAGAAACGCAAAATATCACTTTCTGAAGTTTGGGCATGCTTAAAAAGCAAAATTAGACTTTGGTTTCAAAAATGACAAGCAGTCTTGACTGTTACTTTTCACTCCCCCCTTCTTTTGCTTTTCTTGCACCAATTTTTTCTCTTAATGGGTATGCATGAGGCTTCATTTGGGTACAAAAAGTTTTTAGGATCTTAGGATTAGATGGATGGAAAGGTAGGTGGGTTCTGGAACAAGATGTTCATTGGAATTGTTGGGTCAAAGTTGCATGATTCTTACCTTTTTCTGCCACCCCCTTGACTGAATCATGCTCATTCTGGTATGGTTTGAAAAACCTCTTCACCCTGCACAAGTTAGATGACAGAGTTGTCCTCGACAACTGATGACATAACAAGGGATAGAAGGGACACGCATGGATCCTCACACGTGATTATGCCAGTTCAGGGGCAAATGGGTAATAAAGAAAACAGCTTATACAGAGGAGAAATGTGACATAACATTGTCATGGTAGCAAAGATTTTGGATCACAACAATAAAGAGCTTAAGAAAGGACAACAGTCACAATAACTAGAAGGGCAAAAAAAAAAAAGAGATTAACAAAATAACAACTTTGCATGTGCACCCATTTTTTTTCTTCTAACATGGAAATTCCTAATTTCATGCGCCCGCTCTATGGATTTAGTGAATACAGTTTTTCTCTTTTTCTACTTTCAGATACGGTACTTTGGGATTCAACCCCAGAGAATTTCGCTAACATTTAGCAAAATGAAAGTGAATAAGATCAATGAAGTCTGGAACAGTGTGAATTCACTTTTTAAGGGATGTTTGGTTTGTCGTCATCCAAAATTTTGCTACCAAGGCAACACGAAGTAACATCTTTTCTCTATTGACTCCAAAGGTTCTGTTAATTGTTGAGGAAAAGTTAAGTAGATGCATTTGAGCCAAATGGCTTATTAGCCTGAAGGTTAACCATGCATGGATGCATGCATGTCCATCACGAGGGTATCCCCAGCATTAAATTTGCTGATACCTATTTATAGTCTATACACCTGGGTGGAGTGAGGTACTGTGAGCAGTAAAGCCTGTTACCCAAGAACACAGCATACTAATGACCCCAGCAGGACCTCAACTTGGGGTTCGTTTTTCGAAAGTCCTGTTATAGCTAATGGGCGTGGAATGCTACAGTTGTTTGCATTCAAAATCAAGGTTTTAATACATTTACAGATAATTTGATAAGACTCTCTGCTAACAAAACAAAATGTAATGGTTTCCTTGCTTGTCTTCTTTAGATTTTCATTTGAATAATTTATTTTGGGCCCAAAAAGTTATAGAATTTTCTAGGACCAGATTCCTGGATCTCTTGATACAGAGTCTATAGCACTTACCACTTGGTCACTGTGCCTCGCAGTATGTTATGTTAATTGTTATGTTATGTCGGAAAGTCCTTAAAAATTTTCTTCCAGTAAATGTACCAGCCTGCTGAAATTAAAGGCTTCTTCTTTTTTATTAGTTTCAGAAAAAATAAATGGCGAAAAATTTATTCAGGATAAGCTATCTGTTTACCTTGATCGCACTTCTCACCGTATTATAAAAAACTGGGAACACCTTGCCTGTACTGATGAAATAAATGCCCCTCCCAAAGTTCGGCTTAAATGTAAGATGGTCGGAGACAACAGCTGCACTATGATGCTGTTTGAGGTGCTGACATCAGAATTTGAGGATAAAGCCGTAAAGGATTTGATAGATGCACTGATCAGGATAAACAGAAATGATGTAAAAAAGATCATCACAGATGCTTATCCAAGTATGTTTACTTACCTTTTTTTTCACTATTTTTTCTAACCTTATACTCTTTAGCCAAATACTAATCTAAGAGTCTTTTAAATGCAAACTACTTCTTTTCCTTTAATGTAATGTTAAGTACTAACAGTTGACTCCTGGCAGGTTGAACAAAGTTGCACACTGGGTAACCCATGACATCATGTCAAACTCTTGCAATAGCCAAATGCTAACCTCAGTCTTAAAATCTTTAGAAACTGGCTGATTTAATTTTACTTGTCCACATGTTTTAACATGCGAGGCAGTAGATACATATGTAAGTGCAAAAATATTGCCCCTGCTTATTACAGGGTAGTAGCTCTGGTCCTTTGAATGGATTGAACAGGAAGTGGGAAACTCTTTTTGAAATGTATTGATATTACTAGAAAAGCTAGCCAAAAGTAAGTATGGGGTGGGACAAATTCCCAAAGCTCTCTTTAGGGATGATATCTTGAGAATTACTTCACAAAATACGGACTACGATTTTGAAAAAATTATTGGTTCCCTTGTAAGGTAAGGTATTGATCCTTTTTTCTAGGGTACAAACAGTCCCTTTCATAAAAAATATATCTCCTTTTTTAACTCAACAGATGCTGCAGATTCTACAGAAAAATTCAGTGACTTTGTTGCTCGTCTTGAAAATAGTGAACTTATTGAAAATATCGCCACACTGTTAGACCAGAAATCAACTGTGGTTCGAAACTGGTTTCATCTTGGTCAACAATTTAAACTTTCAAATGAAACACTGAAAGAAATTGAATATGGTCCCTTTAGTCCAACTGAAGTCCTAATGAAGTCCCTGTATTCGAGGAAAACAGATTTGACTATTGGGAAGTTTTATGATGAAGTAAAGGAGTTGAAGCGACATGATGTTTTAAAGAAGCTGGATCCCTTTATTGTTGGTGAGTTGAAAACTTGGACATTTTATACCATGCTTATTCCTTGGACTGAACGAGTTGCAAATAACCTTGAAAGAAAGTTCAGTGTTCTCAAGATTGATTTTGAGTTGAGGCTGAGAAAGGACTTAATTTTTTAAATTTTAAGCTGCTTTGAGCTTCCATACATTCTAAGGATGTCCTTAAAATAACTGATTACATATAAAATATTTTCATATAATATGTATGTGACCCAAAAGGGAAAAGGTTCTTAATATAAAAATAATAATGTAAGATTATGAATAAGACAACTTATATAATTGATTGGATATACACCTGATTGAAAAAACGTTGTCGCTTAAAAAGTATAAACCATGAATGATGGGACCTAATGGATTTATGGGTACAACTTTATTAGCATTGCAAATTTAAAGTTCTTCTCAAAAACTTTTACATTTAAGAAGCTTTTCGCGACTATGCATTCCAAAAAATGTGAAACGGTTTCCAGTATTTACGGCTCACAACTTCACCAGTGCTGGACACATAAGAGATTTCTACAGTTAAAGAGCGTAGCCATATCGCTAACGCACACTTGAAAATCATAATATAGGACCTAAAAGCGTTCTTGGAAGACAAAAAGAGACAACAGCATTCTAGCGTTTTACACTTGCATGACTCTGGTTCTTTCATTTCTCACTCAAAATTTCTTAGAAGACAAGACATGTACGTTTACTCTCTGTGAAGCATTATGTACTCAGGGAACTGAAGCATAATTGTCATGGAGTGTTTTCACATGACGTCACGGCAGCCATATTGATGTTCCAAACCAATCCTGTGAGAGTTGAATTCTTTTCTTAGAGCGGTTTTCATTTGAGTGTCGAAAAGTAATTGGTTTTGCACTTTCTACACGATGCGATTGGCTTAAAAGATTCGCGCCACCTTTTCATCCAATCAGAAGTAAAACCAAAGCCAATTGTGACGCGCTCGCATGCATTTTCCCGCGCTTTGCGTCAGCCACATGTAATTACTTCGAGTTTTGATTGGTTCAATGTATTGTCTGTGTCCTATGTGATTGGCCAGAGTAATTACTTTGGTTTTGGTTTTACGACACTCAAACGAAAACCACTCTATGTAAAAACTTTCTTTTGTTCCAATAAATTTGCATAGATGCTGATCACGTGAGTGAAAACGCTCTGTAATTGTTATAATTTTTAAAACAACAGGGGCAAGTGACAGAGATAAGCCAATGAAAAACGTCATTGGATTAGAGTCAGACACCATGAGAAGCATTTGCATAAGCCTGAACAACCCTAACAGAGCAATAAAGAACTGGAGACACCTGTGCAAGTCCCCTGCACTGGGAATCCCTGAAGACGTGTACAAGGACTGTGAACCAGGGAAGCAAAGGAGTCCAACCGACTTACTGTTTGAGTGGATCTTTGGAAATAAGGTGGATCTAACAGTTGGTCAGCTCTGCAGTGCTCTTGCAAAAATAGACAGGAATGACATAGTAAGAGATCTACGAGAGTATTTTGAACGAAACTCACCTGGCCATCTGGGGCAAAGTTAATTTTATACATTGTCTAATGCTGGAGGTTTCACTCGAGTTTCCCTTTAGGGTGTCATTCTCTACATATCAAAACAACCCTGTGCTACTCTTTGGAGAAACTGGAAGCAGGCACTGGCAAGTAAAAGAGACTTGTCCTGAGAAAGACCAGGGCCGAGTTGTTTGAAAGATGCTGGGGTCTGTCTGCACTCCTAGAGGTAAAACACGAACAACTCGACCAGCAACAGGCTTCAACGCAAGCAGCAGTGTCAAAGATCTTTATCTAACCTTAACCGAATGTGTCCTTGGCCACGGACAGTAAGCCATTGGCCTAGTCTTCTACTACAAAGTAAAGAACCAAACGCAAGACCTATCCCCTTTAAGTTAAAACTAAAAGTTAAAAGTAAAAGTACCTGAAACTCAAATTAAGGGTGTCTTGAACGGATTGTGCTGTCCTGTGGGAAATTGCCTTAAGGGACATGAAGCCAGACCACCCACGCTTAGCTCAAATTTTACCCTATTCTACACAATACATTGTAGGCACCAAAAATCCCTACCCTATCCCAGACGGACTGACTGACTGACTAACTGATAAATTTATTTAATGAATGTTAGGTAAGCTCTTAATAACAGGCCCCAAGGAAACAGTCAGCGGTTTTGTTTTGTTGTTTTACAAGGCTTTGCCCTGAAGCCTCAAGGGGGCTTGTAGAACAAACTTAGGCAACTTAGATTTTCCTTTCTGACCACTCATTTAGTGTTTTGTAATACCTTCCAACTAAAAGTAAAAATCACACACACTGTACCCGATCGATTTTACACGGAACGAAAATCACACCGGATAAGGCTTCTGTTCACGAGTAAGAACGGTGATTTTGGCGCGATTTCTGTAACGGAGCGAAGCTGCTCGTGCCGATCCCGAAAGTGGAGCGTCACATATCGGATAGGCCTTTCTGTGCAACACTTTGATTTAGAGTGAACGGGTATTTGGGCCGTAGCGGAAGTGAATAAGTAGGAAAGAGGACTGGAACCTACCTAGGCGGACGTAAATAGCGAGCTTAAGCAACGACGACGGCAACGGGAACGGCAAAAAAGCAATAGGTTTAGATTAACAACTTTGAACGTGTATCACGGTTTTTTGTACATTTCCTTGCCGTCGTTGCACGACTACGTCGTGAAAGTGCCTAATTTCACATTTTGTCGAGGACGGGAACACAAGACAACAACTTTCTTTTTCTTTTCCTGAACTTTGATATTCAACTCCAAAAAAATTGTCAACATTTGTCGAATGAAACGAGATGGAATAAGCGCGATGAAGTTTGAAGCAGCGTGAATTCACTTTTTAAGTGATGTTTTTCTAGCCGTCACCGTCGTTGTTGCTTAAGCTCCTTAATATTTAGGAGACTGGGATTTATAGAACCAAACTTTCTTGGCCAACTGCTCCAGGACGATGTTTGATGTGTGTGTACGACTTATTCCAGTTCTGTGCCGGTGCTCTTCATACTATACCGGAAGCTGCCTCCTACCCAGACGTCTCTTTCTCTCTCTCTCTCTCTCTCTCTCTCTCTCTCTCTCTCTCTCTGTCTCGCGATGAAAATTTGCGCGAAAAGGAAGGTGCGAAGGAGAAAACGGGCGGTCGCCTATCATTTTCTCCTTCTCATGGTCCCTTGTTCTTCTTGTCCCTTGTTCTTAAACTGTGATCAGTCAATCTCTCTCTATTTTTTTAAAGTAAACTCCTCTAGGTTATCTTTTACTAGCAGTTTATATAATTTTTTATTTGTAGTTTTAGCTTTTATTTTCATCTTGTGTATTTTTAGTGTTTCAGAGTTGGCGTGATGTCCCTCGTGGATGTTGCGGACAAAGCCATATTTAGATTTAGATCACCCGTCACTCGCGTGTCACTCGCGTTTCGCGCTCTCCTCGGTGCGCATAACAAAGCGCTGAAGGAAAACCGGAAGGCTTTTTGCGCCTAGTTATTCGTGTCGGCACGAAGTGCTTTCCGGTACAGTGTGAACATAGCCTTAGTTTTGACACACGGTGCGCGATACGTCAGGGGCACCCAACGACTGTTTTCTGTAAAATATCTGTTTGGAGAAGCAAATGCTGCCTAGAATTTTCGACGGTTAAAAATTTCTTGATGACTGTTCCATTCGGCATGTACAATTTTCGAAGCTTATCTAATTATTTCCCTACGATTTTCTGAAGTTTAATTCTTTACATCTCGCTGCCCAGGTTAGGTTATTTTTCGTACAAAAAGAAAACCTAAAATTTTCGGATTCAAAAATGTGATGGAGAGAGAAATCAGAAAAATTCTCACTTTCGTTATATGTTAAATTGCATCTAAAATTTTCTGCAAAACAATACTGAAGCCCTTTTAATTTTGAAAAGACTCAAGTTCTCCTAGGATGACCGAACAGGTACAAATTTTATAGCGCCCCTTAGAATGCATTTCTGGAGCTCTTAAAGTATTCTGGATGGCCTAAAAAACGATATTACTGTATTTAGGAGGAAACCGTCGTTTGGTGCCCCCGATACGTTCTTGTCGCACCAGAGAGGGTGCTTGGGATGGAAGGTTTTACAATGCTAAATTTAGACCTTTAGATCCGAGAATAAGAACAACTACACGTACGATAGTTGACTTTCTTCGCGTACTCTCAAAAAGTAGACATCCCGGAAAGCTTCATTGTACTTTTTTTCATCAATAAAATTAGTTTTGTTATCTTTTTTTAAAGAGTTAAAGCCCTCTCCCGATCGCAAAATGATAAAACTTCTAATATTTGATAACTCGTTTTCGCCACTACGGCATTCTCGCTAAAACTCGTAGTAGTCGTAGTAGAATGACGACGGCTATCCCTTTTTCCAGCCAAAATAACGCTGGTCCATGCGTGATTACTGCTCAGGATTGAGAAAACCAGTCGTCCTCGTCTTAGAATCTAAAAGTGTCTAATGTCACCCTATTCTAGACTAGAATTCCCTAATTTCTCTACCTACCTCAGACTAACCTGTTTGAAATTGCACCCTTTACAGCCGCACATTCCTATGTAGCCCATAGCCCATTGAAGGACCCCTACCCCTTTCCCCCGGATAAAGCACTTCTTGAAAATCCCACAATCACGTTTGTATCAATGAAATTGTTCCTTAACTAGTGGCATGGTACAGCTGAGAAAGTTGCTATTCTCGTAGAAAAATTGAAAGTGGTTGTTGAAAATTATTATTTTCGAATAAGGACCGGTGAATGATGGTGAGTGATTGAATGCTCATGGACTTTGTACATCAACCTGAGTACCATGAAACGTAACTGAAACAAAGACGCAGAAATTTCATCATAACTGCCCCTTTAACAAAGTGGTGAGAATCGCGGATCAAACATGCACGTTAGCTAATGGTCTTGCAAAGTCATTAAATTAAAAGCAATTTTTTTAGTCTTTTTCTCCCAGCTGAAGAACCTGTTAGAATGTAGGTTTTATGAAATTTTATATACACGTATTTGTTTTATTGGTAGGACCGTTTATAGAGAGATTAGCTATGAGATACCAATGAGATATTAGAGATTAGATTTATCCAATGCCCTCCTGATGTTGTCACCTTAAATTGTTGCTAAAACCAGTAACTGTGTGCCCTGTGCACCCTGCGAGCAGAGTTTCCTATGATACCACGACGGGGACGTCGGCAAAAACGTAATTTAAAGAGACCTCACGTTCTTTGAAACTTCAGCGCGATTATCCCAACTCACTCACTTTGCCAAATGCAGGCTAACACTCCTGAAGCTGAATTCCTAAGTTAAGAAAAATTACCAAGTTCAAAACGAGAAGGAGAAATTCTTCGTCGTTTGTTTACGTTCGGGATATAACGTGAAGTTGGGCAATTTCACGTCGTAATATCGTGAAATATGTTTAATTAAACCAGGGTTAAACAGGGACCGCGGAGGGGGAGGGGCTGGTAGGGCCGCGGCCCCACCACTTTTTTGCGCCTCCGCCCCCGCTTTTTGCGCTAAAAAGAAAAATAATTAAAAATAAAAAAAAGACTTGAAACAAGTTTTTTCCGTCTATATTCCGCTATATTCTCTGTATTTTCTTTAATTTCAAACGCCAGGCATTTTGTGGGGCTCCCGTGCTTTTCGCGGTAATTGTGCCATGGGGCCGACTTGCCCCTTGATCAAACGCCATGCCTTGGCTACCCCTTCGCTTCGTTCGGCAGCCTGTTTTGTACTTCCATCTCCGGCAGAGTTTTTTATCAGTTTTATCAGACGAAATGAAGAAAATTACTAGCTTTTTCAAGCCAAACGAAGGTGAGTAGTTGTTTTGAGTTGATAAAAGTTTTATATTTTGTCTTTCTCCTTTCGAATCAATGAAATATTCGATGGCAAGAAGAATTACATTACTTGAACAGTGAACGGCCATAGTTAGAAATTTTTCAGATCACTTCAGTGTAGTATTTTCTATACTAAAATTGTAATCGCGTCTTTTCTTGCATTGAATCTATGTTGGTCGTTTATTAGAGTTATCTGGGACTTCGTAAAAGTCTGTAAGCTCTGCAGAAAAGACGACAACTACTCGCAGTGAAACTGGAGAGTTTGAGTTTGACCAGTAAACATTTCAACATATTGTTAAAAGTTTTATTTTTTGGAAGTGCGAGTTGTTTTTGACTTATATTCGTTAAGTGTAACTGGATTTTTGATGAAACAGCAGCGATTCAGCAACTTGACAGTACTTAATTGTCATAAGAAATTAACGGAAAGCTTGGACGTTATTCAGATCGCAAAGACATTTGCTGGACGGAAGGAAAATCGGGTGAAGAATTTCGGTATCTTCACTAATGCCGACCTATAAAGAGCAACAAATACTGGATAAAGTATGCAAAGTCACGCAACAGAAACAAATCAAATACTATGATTTTATTCCTTTTTTCGATTTTCAATATGAAAAAATTATTTTCAATTGTCAGCCCTCCCACTTTTCGCCTTGCTCCGCGGTCCCTGTTAAAAAAATGAAAAACACTAGTAACGGAAAACTAGAACACAGGCTTTTACACAAAATTCGTAATTGTAGCGTAATTTGCAATTGATAAAAGTACAGTAAGCAACTTTTATAAAGAAAACAAATGTAAACTACGTTTATTAACTAAACAGCTTTTAAAGCTTTTCATGTTGTGAATGGGGCCAAAGGATAATCTAGGCTACGTTCAGACAGGATACCGGACGAATCTTGGATCGGTTGAAAATTATGCGTTCAGGTAATTCCTTTTACACGGAACCACCTTACTCTACGGGTACGAAAATTTAGACGCCTAGTGGTACAAAGCCCCGTACGAACAGAGCGAAAAAATTAAGCAGTCTCGTGCAGTGGCGCATCAAGGGGGAGGGTCCGGGGGTCCAGACCCTCCCCCGCTCCTTCTCTCAGACTTGTCGCTTCTTGAGACTGAAATTGTTACATCGACAGGATCGTAGATCGCTTTCTAACCGGCTGATTTTTTTTTAATGAAACGTGCGTTGCATTTTGCCTCTAAAGTAAATTCCAGGAATGTTAAAAAATGTAATTGTTTTTGGGTACCCTCCTATGATCTGTTCGCCTCTGCATGCAAAGCAGTACACGGTAACGAGCCAAGGAATTGTAACGTGCAACCGTGACCGGTGGGAGGGGGTGTGGGAGGTGTAGGGGAGAAGTAATTTACCACAGAAAAGTTCAACAGTCCTTTCTGAACCAAAGTTTTGTTCCCCCCAATCAAAAATTCCTGGATCCGCCGCCATTGTCGTGTGATCGAATTCGAAGTGTTTGGTCAAATTTTTAAGCCGCCGCCGTATTGATCCATGACAAAAATCCTCACACTGCCGTGTCATCTCAACAGCGCTTGTCACCCGGTGAACGGAGCCTTTAGTTTTCTTACCCGCTATTGTTTTTCGCTAGTCTGAGTAGCCGCTTGGAAGAGCGGTCAATTTATTAATAACGGGGACAATTCAATAAAG